ATTTCTCTCTTTCTTCTACAGCTCAGATAGGCGCAACTATCTATTGTGGACTGACAACAGAGGCCAGCTCACTAAAGACGCCATAGTATGTTTGGTGGCCTGGGAAAACAGGGCACGCTGCCATTTTTTTCACATTTTATTATTTTAAATAGACGCTACTAAATGAAAGCCGTTGTACTTAGATCTAACTTCTTGCCACGATTTAAATCTTTAAAGTATCTCAATATTTGACTAAGTAACCATACTTTAGGCTATGAACTGTGTAAGGTGCAAGGTTGAGAAAATCATATTTCAAGGGGCTGAATATTATTACCCTATACATTTTGGGGAAATTATTCAAATGACGTGTTAATGAGTATATGCTTCTGAAATGGAAAATGTAGAAAATTAACTTTCAAATAATTTCCTTTTTGAAATACTCTTTCGGGGGTGGGAAGGGGGGGGGGTTAAGGTATCAGAATTTGCAAAAGTCTGGATGTCAAGACTTATTATTTTCGTTGATTTCGAGCAACTCTTTCTGCGTTACTAATTGGCCTTAACTTGTCAGTTACTTTTACTTCACTCCCTTTATCTTGATCTTTTTTTTAACCTCTACTATTTTCTCGTGGCCTAGAGGTTAAGGTGTTCGCTTCTCATTCAAATGTCCCTGGTAGCGACCGAAAAATTTTCTTCCTTAAAATTGTCTCCTTTCACCTCCTTTCCTGCTCTCTAACAATATTCTGTCGTCTGCTTTCGTCTCCATTTTCTTACCTCACCCCCTCACCTCCTTTGTCCCCTCCTCTGGGCTCCTGACTCTTTCTGTAGCCTTTCTACTGCTACTCCTTGGCTCCTTCTTACTGCTGTCTTTCTACCACACCCCTGATCTTATGGTATGAAATATCTTTACCTAGCCGTCTCGGACAAGGGCGAAAAATCTCGGAGGGCCTGTGTGAAAGTTGCAAACATTAAAGATCCCTTGGTGGCAAAACACCAAAACAATTAGTCTTGCGTTATAGAGTATCAAAATTTCGTTATTCCTCTTTGAGTAATGAGAAATGTAGATGAAATGGCTCAACAAGTACGTGTGAGTGACAAATTGAAAATTTGGAGAGCGTTTCTTTCTATACTCCTCCAAACCCCAATCAGACATGCATATCAGCCCCACGGCGAACCACCAGTCTATCTTACTTTACTTTACTTTTATCCGCCGCTTATACCCTTTTGGGTGTCGCGGGAAGAAAGAGACGTCTCTCTGTCGCCAGCCGGAGAGCTTGGGTCAGGGGGATGCCGTGGGTGTTTAATGTTACCCTGACTCCATCTATCCAGGTCTTTCTCGGTCGCCCTCTAGCCTTGTTGCCATCGAATTTTTGGAGGTAGGCACGTTGTGCTGGATTGTGTGTTGGTAATCGTAGGAGATGTCCGAACCATTTGGTTCTTTGGTGTTGGATGTGATGCATGACATCATTTGCGTCCACCATTTCCCGGATTACAGAGTTTCTAATTTTGTCTCGCCTGGTCTTGTTTACTGCTTTTTTAAGGCATCGCATTTCACATGTTGTAATTCTTTGCTCTAATGTCTTGTTCGTGGTCCGTGTTTGGCATTGATAGGTGAGTGCTGGGATGAATATGGTGTTGATCATTTTGAGTTTTGTTGTCATGGGGGTGTTAGGTAGTTGAGTAAGCTGGTAACTAACATTATTGGCCTTTTGTACTCGTGTTTCAATTTTTCTGTTGAGTCGCCCACCAGTCTACCAAAACAGTTATTTGTGTAAACTTGTCAGAAGAAGAGCTCCACCTGCAGTTTCGTCCTCGTCAGTAACGATTATCATTTATGAATGTACGTAGGGTTTTTTTCAACTTTGATTTCAGATCTTAAGGGCTTTACAAAATATTGTTTTACTCGTTGTGATTTTACTTTACGTGTCACATCTAGTTTAGTTTTAGTAGAGGTTTTACGGCGCTCGCAACTGCATAAGGTCATATGAGCGCCAGAAGATTACAGGTGTTACAAGAGAGTAACAAACATAAAAAAAGAACAAAGGGAGATAAGGAGGATAGATGTTTGATAGGAAAGAATGGGCAAACCACACCAGAGCACCCGCCAACCACCCACGTGTCACATCTGCACACAAAAAATCTTGCTGAAGAGTGGCACCGTGGTGAGATCAGGCGCTAGATCGTCAAAATAATGAAATCAAAGAAACAGGTATTCTATTTCAACACCTTTAATGATTTAATGCTCTTTTAAAACCATTTCTGTGTGTGAGTTTTACGGAAAAAACATTCTTCAAAGGCACATAACAAATGCAAATTTGCAGTTTTCAAGGTCAACAGCTTTGTAAATCGAAAAATAACTTTGGCGGCCATTTTCTCGTTCATCCTACCTCTGATACCAAGCAACCCCCACCTTCTTCAGTAGCAAATACTCGACTTCTTTACACGACAGATGGATATTTTTCCATCAAATGCATGATAAATTAACAAAACTTTAAAACGATAATAATAATTCCATATGCCCCCAAAACTGTCGAGCACCCGATTCCATCGCATCATGAAAGAGAAAGCTAAGGGGTAAATAAAATGCCATACACAAGAAAACCAGTCATCCGTGATTGTGGTTTTATGAAGACGTCCGAGAACCCTTCATGATTTTTTATGTGTGTGCGTGTGTGTGTGTGTGTGTGTGTGTGTGTGTGTGTGTGTGTGTGTGTGTGTGTTTGTTGTATTGTTTTGTTTTTGTCGGGGTCTGGGTTTTCAGCACTTCTTGTTGTATTATGGACCGTTCCTTTCATCATAGGCCAGAACCTTTCAAGTCAAGCTGCCTCACCAAGAGATTAATTGCCCAGAAAGTGTCGACATCAGAATCGCGTAACGTGTGTAATACAATGTGTGTGTATATATATATATATATATATGGTGTCAGGTCAGCCTAGTGCTGATACCATAATGACAGTAGATGGTGCTACCTGCAGCTGTTCCTACTGCCTTGTAGGTGCATACGGGTGTATGAAAGGTTAAGGGAGTAAACCCTAAACAAATCCGGAGGGAGGGCCCCTACGGTAGTCGTCAGGGAGGAACGATCCGAGCTATCTTCTGGCAGCCCCTGCAGCTTTACTGGTTCCAAATGTATTGACCTTGTCTCTCCTTTGGACTAAATCAGCTAAGTCGAGATGGGGCTCGTGCAAATTGGGCAAGGCACGTTCTCCATAATATAGTCAGGCCCAGGCATTTAGCTTAGTCAAGATTTCAAGATTTCTGGGAGGACGCTGCAAAAGAGCAAATACAGCGGATCAGACCCACAGCTCAACCACAGCTACAACAGCATTTATATGATTATTGTATGTTTGTTTTTGTAAGTGTTTTACGGCGCTCGCAACTGCATAAGGTCATATAAGCGCCAGAAGATTACAGGTGTTACAAGAGAGTAACAAACATAAAAAAAGAACAAAGGGAGATAAGGAGGATAGATGTTTGATAGGAAAGAATGGGCAAACCACACCAGAGCACCCGCCAACCACCCACGTGTCACATCTGCACACAAAAAATCTTGCTGAAGAGTGGCACCGTGGTGAGATCAGGCGCTAGATCGTCAAAATAATGAAATCAAAGAAACAGGTATTCTATTTCAACACCTTTAATGATTTAATGCTCTTTTAAAACCATTTCTGTGTGTGAGTTTTACGGAAAAAACATTCTTCAAAGGCACATAACAAATGCAAATTTGCAGTTTTCAAGGTCAACAGCTTTGTAAATCGAAAAATAACTTTGGCGGCCATTTTCTCGTTCATCCTACCTCTGATACCAAGCAACCCCCACCTTCTTCAGTAGCAAATACTCGACTTCTTTACACGACAGATGGATATTTTTCCATCAAATGCATGATAAATTAACAAAACTTTAAAACGATAATAATAATTCCATATGCCCCCAAAACTGTCGAGCACCCGATTCCATCGCATCATGAAAGAGAAAGCTAAGGGGTAAATAAAATGCCATACACAAGAAAACCAGTCATCCGTGATT